CCCGCAGATTGCCCCCTCGAGGACATCGCGTGCGTGCTCTTCGCCCAAACAAACAACGCATAGATTGTGTGAGTCATCGGGTGTCAAATAACGATGACACGGATGCACACACCTTCTAAACGCTCTGCTAGTGCTCGCCATAATGAATAGAGATAGCTCTTACTTTTTCCTTGGAAATGCACGCTTCAAACAGAACAGTCAATGAAGACGAAGAAGAGAATGATGTGTGCTCCCGGCGCCTATTTATACTATAGTCGCACCGGTAGTGACGTCATGGCTGTCGCCGGCCAACGAGTTGGTGTTTTTTCAATGTATGCTTCAGACACGGGTCACGACGAGGCGTTCCCCATAGCGACCCCTAGAGGACGCAGTTTGAAGTTCCCATGAAAGGGAACCACTGATTTAAACAAAGTATAGAATTTTACTATTACCCATTTCTAGGTTATTGGCTATAAAATTGAAATAAATAAATAATTATCTGCCAGAATTTTTACATCAGAGAATCCCTAGTTAACTCTGTGAATCTAAACTCTCCCCCTTTAAATAACTGTTTAACAAATCCCCTGCCTCAAGATGAATATTTGGGGGGGTCACTGTTTTCTTTTTTTCTTTTTTTATATGTTAAGATTTGAATGATGTTTTTATTTACATTTGCATGACAAACAATTTTGGTTTCTGTGTTGGGTCACCACTTGATGTCCTAAGTAAAGCCCTGAAGCAAAACCAATTGAGAACAACTGATCTAGAATAAGGCATTAGAGTGAACTCTGCAATAAAAATTTCCATTCAGTAATTTCTTTGTTTATAAAAACCCTGAGGCGCATAAAGCTCTGACTTTGATATTGAAATGGCCCTGATGCATATTACTGTAATAATTCAAATCAGAATTGAAACACTATAGGAGACCTAAGACATTTCTTTAAACTCTTATTCAAAAATACCCACTGCGTTCATGTAATATCCAATGACTCTTGATCATGCTGAGATTAGACATTAGAAGTGATGCCACAGGTCAGATCTGTGTCTACTGCAGTCCGGCTTCTGCAAACCACTATCACAGAAACATCTCAGACAGCTGAGATTCAGATCGATAACACTCCTGTTGTAAACAAAGCTGCTGTGCTTCCCATTGCCCATGAGTTGCCCTGCTATATCAAGGCAGCTGGTGATACTTCAAACCTTTATATACAGGATTTTTCATCATCCTATAAATCTCAGAGGGAAGCTGACACAGTTGGATAAACTAAAAGGTGTGCATCTGTAAAGGGCTTGTGTTTTTTATTACCAAGAGATCTGAAAGTGCTGTCTGCATTGGTTGTTTGTCCATACAGGAAAAGGGGACATATTCCCAGTCTTATTGTCTCGTGTTTGCTGGAGCATTAAAAGCAGTGACTCATTGCCGAACCGGAGTACATCGATCCCATCACACTCAGCTTATGTCTGGCTCTTCCCCGAGCACCAGAACGGGTCATTCAAAAGTGTTAAATCCAAGGGCTACAAGATACATAATGCGTATATTCGGGGTTATTTGCGCAAGCTGAACAATGCACTGAAATTAAAGTTCTTTGCCAAAACCAACAATTCTGGACAGACAGTAGACTAAATATAAATAAAAAAAATGTATTTGAAATAAAAAAGCAAATTATTAATATTGTAAAAAAATTTGTTTTGTATAATATCATCCCATTTTCATTCAAATGTAATCTCATGAATTATGCTTTTTGGCTTTGATGAGCCCCTAGTTAATGGTATCTGCATTGTACCATAATTTTGAGTTGTTTCTCAGTTTTGAAAAACTTTTTTTTGACAGACTAATTTTATCCACCTTATTTTTCACGTTAGAGCCTTAATTATTGTCTTAATTATAAACTTAATTATAAACGCACTGGTTTGTGGTGCGTACAGTTTTACCGTTTACTGCACTTTGATATTCTTCTCGTTATTTCCCATAGTGGCTATTGAAACAGAAGTCTTGCACATTCACAGAAAACAGCTTACTTCCGCTTTGAAAAATAAGGTGGACTGAATCCCTCCTAAAGGTGAAGCTTGTAATTTTCGCACCACTAATGTTGTTGTTTTTTTTCGCCCCCAATGGTCAGCCAAAAGGATAGCTCCGCCCCATACTAACAGTATTGGTTGAGCCTGTTGTTATGTTAGGCTGATCAGAACCTTCAAACAAACAGAGCAAAGTTTTGATAGTGCCACAGTGTGGTAACACTTTTTGGAGGAGTCAAAAAAGAAAAAAAAAAATCAACAAAATGTAAGATTTAACCTAATATGCAATGTACTAATAAACAGCATGAATCATGCCGTCTAACCATTTCATGAAATTATGATGTAACATTTGTAATAAAAAAAAAAAAAAGTAATTTTTTTCTGGCTGTATTGTGAAAGGTCTAAGTAGACAGAGGGCCTTGAGTGACATTTTCTTTTCACTTTAATGTCTGACGGTCAGACTTTAGACATTAACGTTTGGGGGGAGGGACTAATGTGAGGGTGCAGGTGGCTCGTCTTAAGATAAGACCAAGACTGTAGTTCAAACAGCTTCACATTTATCAATTCCCAAACTGTCATTTTCATAGCGACAGATAACTGCAGGTCACCAAACATCTTACCGCTTCTCTGCTCCACTCCCACCTTGATGAAAAGCCGACAGCAAATTAATTTACACCTTGATGACTAATAGATACAAACGCACCCATCAAAGTTCTTGTTTATCTCTGAAATGTGTGACGTAATGCATGTTTATCATTCAGTCTGCCTCTCTCACTTAGTCATCGTCTTCTCCTCTTTCTCCTCTTCTCCTCTTTCTCCTCTCATTAAGCAGAAGCCTTTGGTCCGAGCAGTGACTTTGCGTCGAACGTGTTTGTTTTCTTCATTCTATGCTCTGTGGTGTGAAATTTGAAGTACTTTCTTTTTCACCTCTGCTCATCCCCGTCCACTGGGCTTTTTCTAAATTCATGTCATAATAATTATGCTCTGTTCCTCGATGTGTGATTCTGTGTATCGCAAGTGTGAAAAGGGTTTTATGTAGTCCGATGCTTGCTTTTTCAGTATTCTTTTATTAAGGTTAATAAAACATTGCCATATAAGCTACATCTTTCTTTAAACATGCTCAGCATGTGTGTACACATGTCTTTGTGTGTATTTGGGTCAGGTTTTGCCTGTGTTACAGACTAGCCAGAAAAATGGCTTTATAAACATACAAAATAATGTTGTTGAAATTCTAAAAATTTAGGGGATGAAAAATATCATTAGCTTAGTATAAAAAAATTATTATACTAATCTATCTGTCTGTATCTACAGTATTTGTATGTCTGTCTATGTTTATTTATTTATTTATTTCCTTCCTCTTTCTTTCTTTCTTTCTAACATTCTATCCATTTTGTCTATCTATCTATCCATCTATCCATCTATCCATCTATCTATCTATCTATCTATCTATTTATCTGGCATTCTGTTCATCTGTTTTTAGACAAATTTTGCTTTTGTACTAGTTACATAATTGTTATACTTCCTACAGTCCAATTTTGAATTGTAATTCTGTACCCTTTTTTCTACCTCAGTTTATTTCATTTTGAATTTAAGAATTAAATGCATTCTCAATTCAACTCTGAATGGCACATGACCAGAAATGGAGATTTCTTGTCTTGACGAGGAAAACAGTTTAATAAGCACAATAAATATCTTAATCAAAATGTAAAAATGCAGAAAGGTTTATCTAAGGGATAATAGATAAAAAATATGATTAGCTCACTTTAAAACAATAGAAGTCAGTGGAAAGTCCCCCCTTGTTCTCTCTCCCTATGGGGATTCTCTCTCATCTTGGTCTTTAATGGAGACAGATGCCTGTAATGGGCTGTGGAAATGGACACAGATGCATCACTAAACAAAGTTGCACATCAGTGACTGAGATGGTCATGAAAAAGCACAGAGGGACTTCTTTAAACATGAATAATGACTGCTGAGCACCTCCAATCTCTTTTTCTGACCTCCAGTTTCTATATTACCATCGAGGACAGACTGAATACAGTACATCCACCTTGTTCCCTGTCTCCCTAGTCATTATTAGGCATTAAAGTTCTTGAGGAGGTGACTAAGCAAGTGTGCGACTGGGACTTTGCGGTAAGGGTGGGATGTGTTTTTATTGCGGGGGGTCTCCATGCTCAGGGTGAACTGATGATTCATGGTGCAGCGACTTAGACACCGGCAAGGTGAAACGCTATGTTGTTGATTTTACCGTATTACCACACGCCCTGCTCCAGTTTCACCCTGCTCAGCTGGACATGAGAGCAACTCATCAAAAGCTCTTAATGCCCCATCCAGTAATGATGATAGGCACATTCTACCTATGGATTTTGTCACTTAAATATGAGCTGTAAAATGATGCTCAATGCATCTGAGGTATCTGAATATTGGATTCTTAAAGGGGTAGGATGAAGTTACCAGTATGAAGTTCTTCTGGGTAACACAAAAGCAGATATTTTGAAATAAATTTTTTTTAATAATTTCACTATATCACTATATATTTTCACTGAATGGAAAAAGCAGTGTGAACATTTTGTGTTCCATTGCAGAAATAAAAAAAGATTTAACATCAGCATGAGTCACAAAGAGTTCATTTTTCTTTTTTTCTTTTTTTTTTCTTCTTTTTTTTTTAATGAACTATCCCTTTAAGTTCAATTTGTCAGACTGGGAATGATTTCCACCACATTATCAGTCGCAAGAGAGGAATTTGAAGTAGATCAAACTTAGATGTTTTGTGACTCATAGTTTGGTGAGTCTGTGTCACCTCACCTTGCCCGCCTGTTTCCCGACCCTACTCATAATGGTGATTTATGTATGCACTTTCTCTTTTCTCCTACAACAATTGACAATGTGATGAATGGCTTTGGAAAAGAAGGCAAGGCGTTCCAGCAGAACGGTAGTTTGTTCTTCTTGACTAGGAAGCAGACTCCAGTGTCCTTTAAAAAGTGTGAGTTGCATTCATTTGCAGATAGCTGTATAGAATGGACAATCACTGGCTGACAGCAAGGCAGATTTCACTTTAGTCAAGTCAAAATTTAAAAAGCAGGAAACTTTAATCTAGTTGAATGAATCTGTTGAAAGACACATCACATAAACCAATGATTTACATCACAAATGAAAAGGAAGGAGACTGTTGAGATAATTTAGTCTTTATTACTTAAAAACTGACACATAACACTTTAACTATGATCTCCAAAAAGAAAATTTTCTCAAAATGAACTAACTTCACTTTTCTAAATAATTCATTTCTATGAGATTCATGCCCAAAGAAAATTAGTTAGGACCTTTCTCCTCCTTCATGCTTTTGAATGTAGCTTTTTGGTGTCTATTGAACTACATGTGTGAAGGATAACTCAGTGCTATCACTTTTTATCATTATTGAATTTTCTTCAAGGCTGGCAATGTCATTATTGGAAAATCTTTCCAGTATATTGTGTAATCTTGTCTGGAGAGATGGGAACAAAAATGTATCAGTCACTTTGAATAAAAATGTCTGCCAAATGACCAGTATATATAAGAGAGCTGAGATTCAATGTCTGATGCATCTGAAACACTTTTCTTGCGCATACATCCCTGTACACTAACACACACACCATCTGTCTTGCCAGATATGTTGCAGTGTCATTCTACATAACATATTCAGTGTCATATTAATGTCAGGTCTTCTTCATACCTCAGAATGGTAGAATGGGCCACTGTTCTATGTGTCTCTATGAAGAATGAGCCTAAATCATGCAGATATCTGAAATGTTTCAAAATGGTAACAAATGGACATTTTAGAAGTGCCTGTTCAGTCTCAGTCCATTTCTGTCTGTAGGTGTTTGGATGTTATTTTATTGTTGTCTTGTATACTTGTATCACTCTCATTATCAGGCTTTTGATTTCTGCAAGAAAGCCTAGGACACCTCATGTGGATGTGATTGTGTTTGAATGAATGTATGTTCATGCGTGTGGTTAATGTGTAAGAGAAGTAGCTAATCAAGACTACAAGACTAAAACAAATCCCACTCTATCCTGAGGCCTCTTCACCTCAATCATGTCCACCCATATGAACTAATCAGACTTCATAATTACGACCTTGAGCGACGCACCGCACACACAGCAAATTCAATAAACTGCAGCCTGCCAGCTGATAGCCCACTGGAGGGATGGATTTGTTTTATAATTGTGTTGCCATCTCAATATTATGACAAAAAAAAAATCTTTTGGCTAGG